GCACACCCACATCGCCTTGGGCTTTTTTTTTTTTTTTAATTATTATTTTATTTAACTTTATTTAAATTTGACCAGAAAGGGACAGAACAAAAGAATGAGAGGGCAAGTGAGAAAGCAATCCTCCTGGTCTGGAACTCAAACCATGGTCGGCCACGTGGGAGTCCAGCGCCTTTAACCGCCATGTATATGCCAGCTCCAGCCCTTTTTCTTTTTCCTTAAAAAAAATTTTTTTAGCCTTCCAGAGACAGAGAGACAAGGAAAGTGAGAAAGCATCCCCCCAAGTGGATGGCCACACCACAATCCCTTCTCCATTCTCCTCTCAGGATTTTGGGCATGCACACACATGAACCCTGCATGATTTTCTTTTCTTCTTCTTCTTCTTTTTTTTTTTTTAAGATGTTTTTGCCTTAGGGCACATGTGCTCACTGTAGACAGAGACAGTGAGAGGGAAAGTGAGGAATCACCCCCCAGGGGTGATGGCCATGCCGCCACCCCTTCTCCTCCGTTTCCTTCCTGGTATCCTGGGCACACAAGCAACACACGCCAGGATGATTTTGAAGCCACCAGGTCAAGGACTCAAACTGCGGTCGGCCATGGAGTCCAGATGTAACGCCGCCTGCTGGTCCCATCTGCATGTTTTCTTTTTTTCTTTTATTAAATGGGTAATTTGCATTTTTTCAGTTCCTAAAATTCTTCAGTCCTTAAAGACTCAGCTTCTTACATGGGCTTTGGTGGAGGGTGTGGGGCAGCACCCGCAGGTCTAAATCTGGGGCAAGGCTTTCAGTCCCTCAGAACTTCATGAGATCGGTTCCTGACTCCCGCACTATGAATGGCACAACTCGCACAGTACCGTAGCTTCACGTACAGCTGAGGGCACATGGGCATCAAAGACACTTGCTTTTGAGATGTCCCTGACGGCTGCAGTCTCTATGTTTCCAATGACTAACTTTCCTTTTTGTTTAAGAGGTGTTTTGTTTTAGGGCACATGTGCTCGCCAGAGGGAGAGACAGGAAAAGTGAGAAATTACCTCCTGGGGGGATGGTCACACTACAGCCCTGTTTCCATTCTCCTCCTGGGATTTTTGGGGCACATGCACCCAGCACAAGTTTCAAGCCACCGGGTCCAGGACTCGAACCATCATCAACCATGTGGGAGTCCAGCGACATAACCGCTACACCACCTGCTGGTTTCATGACGAACTTAACAGCCTTGTCCTTGGGTGCCCATCAGGCATAGTTCGCAGCACGTAGGCAGCCGGTGGCCACGGCCCTTTCAAGCGCAGCACCTTCGTCTGTTCATCTCGAAGTGAGGCTGCAAGAGCCCCCTGTGTGTTTTTCAAGCCACCAGGCCCAGGCCTCGAACCACACATTCAACCATGTGGGATCCACCCACCTTAACCATCATGCTATCAGCTGGCCCCAGAATAAGATTTTTGTTTTAAGGTTTTGGCCATAAGGCACATGCACTCGCTGGAGAGAAAGACAGAGATGGTGAGAGAGAAAGTGAACGTCCTCCCCACCAGGGGGAATGACCTTGCTGCAAATCTTTTTCTTCTACTCTCCTCCTGGGAGTTTGGGCACATGCTCAGTGTGATTTTCAAGCCACAGGATCCAGTACTCAAACCACACATTCCACCATGTTGGATCCCATGCCTTAACCACCATGACCACCAGCAGGCACCAGAATATGATTTTATTTTATTATTTTCTTTATTTTTACTTTTTTTTTTTTTGAGAGAGAGATTTTTGCTATAGGGTGCATGCACTCGCCAGACAGACAGAGAGACAGAGAGACAGAAAGAGAGAATCACCCCCCAGGGAGGCAGGCCATGCCGCAATCCCTTCTCCTCCATTCTCCTCTTGGAATCTTGGGCATGCACGCACACGCGCCCGGCATGAGTTTTAATCCACTGGGTCCGGGACGTGAACCGCGGTCGACTACTTGGGATTCCAGCGACATAGCCATTATACTAACTGCTGGTCCCTTATTTTATTATTTTCTTAAGAGATTTTTGTTATAGGGCACATGTGCTCGCTGGAGAGACAGAGAGACAGAAAGCGAGAAATCACTCCCCAGGGGGGATGGGCATGCTGCAGTCCCTTCTCCTCCATTCTCTTTTTGGGATTTTGGGCATGCATGCACACGCGCCTGGTGTGAGTTTTAACCCACTGGGTCCAGGACTTGAGGTCAACTCTGTGGGAGTCCAACGACGTAACCATTCCACCGTCTACTGGTCCCAGAGTTTGATTTTACATGCTGATGATTTCCTCCGAACTACAGGGTCCCCTTCAAAACGGGAACATCAGGCTTGCAGCCAAGTGGGTAGGCGAGCCCCAAATAAACGTCAGCTGCTATACAGCTCCTCTGACTCAGGTCCTCTCCCCCCATCCCAGCTCTCCTGCAGTACTTAACCTGTGGTGTTTCCAGTCCCCATGGCAACAGGGCCTGGCGCTGCACAGACCCCAAACCTAAGGAGGTCTGGCCCACGTTTCTTTACCCTCCAGCTTTGCCTCTTAGCAACCTGCATTTCTTCTCTCATTCCTCGCTTGGGTTCCAGCAGGCCTCTCCCTGGGGGAGGTGCTCCCCCTGCAACTGCTCTTGTGTAACCGTGAATGAGAACCTCCCTCTTCCTGAGTTTCCACCTCATCTATTAATTAAGATTGGATGGGGGACCAACAGTTAGCGTAATGGCTATGTCGCTGGACTCCCATGTAGTCGACAGTGGTTCGAGTTCCAGACCTGGTGGCTTAAACTCACGCCGGGCATGTGTGCATGTGTGCCCAAGATCCCAAGAGGAGAATGGAGGAGAAGGGATTGCAGCATGGCCATACCCCCTAGGGAGTGATTTCTTGCTTTCTGTCTCTCTGTCTCTGTCTTTCTGGAGAGCGCACACACCCTATAGCAAAAACCTCTTAGAAAAAAAAAAAAAAGATTGAATGGGTGGACCTGGAAGGTCTCAGCTCCAGTGCAACCATTCTAAATCACTTTTCTTCTAAATGCCCAATCAGAGGACTCATGCATCTCTGGCTCCCTGGCCCCAGTTTATAGAACATTTTTTTAAGTGACCGGTGCCCAGAAAATATATCATTCCTTCTAGAAAGCTTTAGAGTCGGGACTGTAGTGGTCACCTTGTCCACACTCTCATTTTGGCAGGGAGGATTCTGCATGCTAGAGGAGGCTTGCTCAAGGCCACAAAACCCGTGGGTGGCAGAGGGTCCCCACCCTGGCCCCTTGATCTGGGCACTCTGCCTTCTGGTTTAAATGACTGACAGTGTTTTGCAGGACTTTCTGCAGCAAATTTTCTATCCCTGCATCTCTTAGAAACTGGGCTAGGGACCTGTAGGTGGCATAGTAGTTAAGGTGCTAAATACTCCCCCATGGTCGACCACAGTTCAAATCTCGGACCTGGTGGCTTGCTTCCTTACTTTCTCTCTCTTTGTGTCTCTCTCTGTTCAAATTTAAAAATAAGTGAATGACAGGACCCGCAGGGGGGGTGGTAGTTAAGGCACTGGACAATCCCACATGGTCAACCATGGTTCGGGTCCTTGACCTAGTGGCTTACTTTCTCACTTTCCATGTGTGTGTGTGTGTGTGTGTCTTTCTCTGGTCAAATTAAAACAAATGAACAAATAAAAATAAATAAATGTTTTTTAAAAAATAAGTGAATTGGGACCAGCAGTTGGCAAATGGCTATATCTCTGGACTCCCATGTAGTCAACTGTGGTTCAAGTCCCAGCCTGGTGGCTTAAACTCAACGCCAGGTGCGTGTGCATGCGTGCCCAGGATCCCGAGAGGAGAATGGAGGAGAAGGGATTGTGGCGTGACCATCCCCCCTGGGCGGTGATTTCTCCTTTCTGTCTCTCTGTCTCTCTCTGTCTTTCTGGTAAGCACATGCGCCCTATAGCAAAAACCTCTCCAAAAAATAAATCAATAAAATAAAGCATATTGTTCTGGAAGAAAAGGTGAGGATTCGTTCCTTATTCTTCCACTTGCCCATGCACACCGGCCCAGGACATGGCCTCTCTCTTCGTCCTCCACCCCCTCTGCCACAACGCGCTGTGTCTCTGGCGTCCCGGCATCTCTTTCTTTTCTCTTTGGCTTCTTCTCCTGCACTGCTAAGCCCCCTATGCCGTTTCCTCCTGGTCGCCACCATCTTCCCTCTTTTTTTATTTTTATTTTTTTTAAGGCTTTTGCTATAAGGCATGTGCGCTCCCCAGAGAGACAGAGAGAGAAATTGAGAGGGAAAATGAGAAATCACTCCTCAGGGGGGATGGTCATGACACAATCCCTTCCCCTTTGTTTTCCTCTCAAGATTCTGGGCGCACACACGAGTCTGGTGTGAGTTTCAAGCTGCCAGATCTGGGACTGGAACTCTGGTGGACCATGTGGGAGTCCAGCACCTTAACCACTATACCACCTGCTGGCCCCTCTTTTTCTTTTTGAATCAAACCACAAGGGCTGGGGCTCATACCCTGGTCGACCATGTAGGATCCAACTTCCTCTGCGCAGTGCTTAAGTGCTGCGCTTTGGGGCTGGCTCCATTTTTGCAAATGTTCTTAATGTCAGGCTTCATAGAAGACAGCTAGAGGGGCCAATAGGTGGTGTGGTGGTTAAGGATGCTGGACTCCCACATGACCAATTGCAGTTCGAGTCCCAGACCTGGCAGCTTGCTTTCTCACTTTCTCTCTTTCCTAGAGCATCTAAAAAAACTACTGGATTCTCATGAATGTGAAAAAGGCAAGTAATGTTTTCATGTTACTTTGAAAACAGTTCTGATCTCTGCAATCCTTTTGTTTTTTCTAGAGGTTTTCGCTATAGGATGCGTGCACTCGCCAGAAAGACAGAGAGAGACAGAGAGACAGAAAGCGAGAAATCACCCCCCCAGGGGTGATTGTGCCCATGCCGCAATCCCTTCTCCTCCATTCTCCTCTCGGGATCTTGGGCATGCATGCACACGCGCCCGGCATGAGTTTAAGCCACCGGGTCCGGGATGCCAACTGCGGTCGACTACATGAGAGTCCAGCAACATAGCCATTACGCTAACTGCTGGTCCCATGCAATCCTCTTTACAAAAAATCCCAGGCCTGGGGTGTGGTGGTTAAGGGCACTGGACTCCCACATGGCCGACTGCAGTTTGAGTCCCAGATCTGGCGGCTTGCTTTCTCACTTTCTCTCTCTGTCTCTCTGGTCAAATTTAAATAAATAAAGTTGAAACAAATCCCAGGCCCTGCTCTGCGAAGCAGACACCTTGACTTAGTTGATTGTGTTAGCCCGGTGCCCAGCTAGACCTGCATGAACAACGTCACCGTGAATGAACGGCTTCGGAACAAAGCCAGCCCAGGGCGTTCTCCAAAGCCAGCGCCGGGGCGTCCTCCAAATGACCCGGGGGGGGGGGGGTCCTCAAGTCCGGCACCCTCCGCGGAGCCCCTCCCGCCCCCAGCTAGGCTCTCGGCACATGGGGTTCCCTGCCCAGCTTAGTCTGACCAGAGGGAAGTGCCTTCTGACCTTGTGGTTGGGAACTGTCACATCCTCTTAAACGACACTTGTCCCACCAGGACAGGAAGGACCTTCCCTGAAGACCAAGCTGGGCTCCACACCTGAGAGTCCGAGGAGAGGTCTGACCCCTAAGACAAGAGCAGCCCGGGGTCTTCATGGGACAACTGGAGAGCTTGGAGGTTGGGTCGCCCCTCTCCTACGTGCAAAAAGAGCTGCCTCGGGCCAACCGGATCTGGCCCCCGTGATTTCTGTCCCCTCGAGGCTGTCCACTTCGTTCCCCTGTCACTCTGCAGCCTCCGCCCTCCCAGCACACCCCAGCTCCAACACAGGTATGTGGGAAACATGGGCTAGGGATTTACCCAGTCCTAGGTTCAACTTGTCTCTGCTTCTTACTGGCTGTGTGACCTGGGGAAGTGGCGTCCCCTCTCAGAGCCTAAAATAGTCACGCTGCCGCAGAATTATGAAAGGGAGAGGAACTGTGTGTTAAGCCCTCTTGTCCAGGGCGTAAAATGTACCATTCTACAAATAGCAGCCGGAAATAACTCACTGCAGGACCAGTAGGTGGCAGAAGGGTTACATCACTAGACTCCCACCCGGCCGACGGCGGTTCAAGTCCTGGACCATGTGACTTCAAACCTACATTGGGTGCGTGTGCATGTGTGCCCAAGATCCCAGGAGGATGGAAGAGAAGGGATTGCAGTGTGGCTATCCCCCTGGGGGGGTAATTCTTTGCTTTCTGTCTGTCTCTCCAAGAAACACGCACACCCTATAGCAAAAATCTCTCTCAAAAAAAAAAAATTAAAGAAAGAAATAACACATGGCCTCCAACCCCTCTCCTTTCTCCCTGAAGGCAGTTGGGCCAGGCTGGGCTTTTCCAGGAGAACTCCACTTCTGGAGATGGCAGAGTGGTTCCATCGCGGTGTGGGCTTCCTGCCCTGTGCCAGCAGACGGCACCAGTAGGCGGTCTCCACACCCAGCCCTGGGCAAGGCCTCGCCACCTTCTGCTTCTCTCTCCTTCCTCCTGCAGGCCGGGGGCCCAGGGAGGCAGCCAGCCCCTCCAACTCACCTCATGCTCTCCCTCTCGTGGCTTCATTCCTGTACTGGGCACACAGGTCATCTAATGGGGACCTCCAATGCCCCCTTCATCCTGATGGGAGGAGTGGTGGGCAGCTGACCTTACCTGGGGCCCTTAGGACTCAAGGCCTTGGACTGCCAACCTGCTGCACCCACCTGGGACTCTGCATGCCTGCAAAGCAGCCCCATGCTCTCCCTCCCTCCAGCATTTCCAGGTGTCACTCAGTATCTTGGGTGAGGTGAGGAAGCCCCCACTCACATCCCCCACAGAGCACCTGGCTTCCTCAGCTAGGCGCTCTGGGGCACTGTGCCTTTAAGAACCGCCACCCCAGGGTCTTGGCGTCAGCACCCTCAGCTGAGTTGGATTAGGGGACCATTCGTGCCCTTGTGCATTCTTTCTGCCGCTGCCCTTTCCCACAGAGCTGCCTGGAGCCTGAACCAGCCTGGTAGCCTTTTCCATCTGGGGGTAGAGGCCACCCCTTTGGTCGGGGTTCAGGGTCAGGAGGTGCCCTCGGGGGTCTTGGCTATCGCGGGGACTCCAGGAAGCCATGCAGAGCTTTGGGCCATGAAGGACTACACTGATGTCATCCTCTGCATGGAGGCCTCAGAGCTGAGCAAGGTAAGGGCCACAGGAAGTGAGCTCCCAAGACACGGTGTCCCCGGTATCCCCAGCAGACGCACCTGCCTCGGTCCTCGTGTCTCTCCTTCCAGACTGAGTTCTGCAATCCTGCTTTCGAGCCTGAATCAGGGCCACCTTGTCATCTTCCTGCCTTCCAAGAGGATGCCGGGCGCAGTGGCCCATCTCCCCAGCACGGTACCCACCTCGGAGGGTGGCCTTGGGGAGGACAGAGGCCTTGGAGCTGAGCACGGCATGAGGGGGTGTCATGAGAAGGGGCCCCCAGGACCAGCAGGTGCTATGGAGGTTAAGGTGCTGGATCCCACATGGCCAACTCCATGGGTTCGAATCCCGGACCTGGTGGCCTGAGAAACATACCAAGTGCCTATGTGTGCATGTCCAAAGTCCCGAGAGGAGAATAGAGGAGAAGGGATTGCAATGTGGCCATCCCCCCAAGGGGTGATTTGTCACTTTCCCTCTGTATCTCTTGCCCTTTGGCAAGACAATCTTTAAAAAAAGGCAAGGGGGCCTCACATTGTCCTTGTGGACTGCCACAGGCCGCCCCCGAGGGCTGCAGCCCGACTGCCGCTTCTCCTGGCTCTGCCTGCTGCTGCTCGCCGGCCTGCTGCTCCTGCTGCTTGGACTGCTGGTGGCCGTCATCCTGGCCCGTGAGTACCCGGGCTGCAGGGAGAAGGGCCCCCCAGAACCACACCTCTGAACGGCACCCTCCTTCCATCCACAGAGCTGCAGGCTGCACCCCCGCCCAGGGCCTCCCACAGCCCACTGCCGGCCCGAGGCCGCACCACCACCCCTGGCACCACCACCTTTCAGACAACCAGGCCCCCAGACGTGCAGCAGGAGGTGGCCAGCCCCACACCCCAGGCCTGTGAGTGCCCAGGCCAGCTGGAGAAGGCCCAAGGAGGCAGGGGATGGAAGTCAGCAAGGGGCACCTGGGCAAAACTCTCTCCTCTGACCTCTGCACTCTAACCTCCACCTCTGCAGCCTGCGGAGGGCTCCTTCCTGGCCCGAGGGGCTTCTTCGGCAGTCCCAACTACCCAGACCCCTACCCACCCAACGCCCACTGCGTGTGGCATATCCAGGTGGCCACAGACCATGTGATCCAGCTCAAGATCGACACCCTCAGCATAGAGAGCGTGGCCTCTTGTCTTTTTGATCGCTTAGAAATCTCGCCTGAGCCTGAAGGTCCCCTCCTCAGGTAGGTCCTCTGCCCAAGGGGATCCCACCCTGTACTGAACCATCACCTGGAAGGTAGAACCAGGGAGCTGCAGCAGGAAAGGCAGCAAAGGGAGAACTTGACCTCTGGGCTCAGCTCTGCCCCATCTTGCTGTGTGACCTGGAAGGTCACTCACCCTCTCTGATCTCAGTTTCCCAATATGTCCGATGGAGCTCTTACCCACCTCTCCCATGAATAAATGCTGCAGGGAATGCATGTACAGGTGCAGAGAAGGTCAGAACTCCCTGGGAAATCAAATGAGCCTTTTGAACTGCATCATCACCAGTTCAGGGCTGGAGGAAACCGCACCACAGGGCCTAGGCAAGCTCCACTCTAGCTGGCTCTGAGCTGGGAGCCTCCATCACCCCCAACCTGGCTTCTTGCAGGGTATGTGGGAGGGCACCTCCCCCTACACTCAACACCAATGCCAGCGGCCTCCGGGTGGCCTTCGTCTCTGACAGCAGTGTGGAAGGGTTTGGTTTCCACGCCTGGTACCAGGCCGTGGCCCCTGGGCACGGTGAGCATCCCACTTCCCTCCGCTCCAAGCCCTGCCCGCACCAGCTGAAGGGGCGGACTGGGAAGGGGGGCTCTGACTCCTGATGCCGCCCCAGGGAGCTGTGCCCAGGACGAGTTCGCCTGTGACCAGCTCATCTGCCTGCACCCTGACTCCGTGTGTGATGGCTTCTCCAACTGTGCTGACGGCAGAGACGAGGCCAACTGCAGCGCTGAATTCTCAGGTACGGCCACCCAGCACTGGGCAGCTGCGGCTTCAGGCGTCTGACCCGGGTGTGGGCTGAGGCTGGGCTCCCAGGCTTGGGCTCAGCCCCAGCCTCGGCGTCCTCATCAGCATTCCTGGCCTGCTGCTGCTCCTGGCCCAGAACTCGCTTCTCTTAGGCACAGTGAACACTTACCCCGCAGTCACTCTGGTCCTAGCGGGTGGAGGATCCTGGCAAACTCCTGAGCCTTCTGCCTCTCTGCAGGGTGCGGGGGGAATCTGACTGGGCTCCAAGGCACCTTCTCTACTCCCAGCTACCTGCAGCAGCACCCACACCAGCAGGTAAGCTGGCTCTGTGCAGGGCCAGGAGGGCTGCATGGGGCACCTGCACACCCAGGTCAGTGCGCCCAGAACAGCATGGCCGACGCTGCCTGGTTCTTGGGAAGGTCAAAGCAGGCAGGAAGGGAACCGAATACCCCGCTGTATACCCAGGTGCTGGGTAAACTCTCTGAGACCAGACAAGTTTTTTTAAAAGACCCCCTGGGGCCTGCAGGTGGCATCGTGGTTTAGGGCACTGGACTCCCACATGGCCGACCACGGTTTGAGTCCTAGACCTGGCAGCTTGATTTCTCACTTTCCCTCTGTCTCTCACTCTTGCTCTGTCCCTCTCTGGTCAAATAAGAAAGAAAAGAAAATTAAAGAAAGGAAAAGAAAAGAGAAGAGAAGAGAAAATGAAAGTTCAATAAAATAATTATTTTTTTAAAAAAAGCCCTCTAGCAGATGGTGTAATGGTTATGTTGTTGGACGCCCATGTAGTTGGCCGCAATTCGAATCCCAGACTCAGTGGCTTAAAACTCATGCTGGGCACATGTGTGTGTGTGCCCAAGATACCAAGAAGAGAATGGGGGAGAAAGGATTGCCATGTGGCCATCCTCCCTGTGGGGGGGTGATCTCTCACTTTCTGTCTCTCTATCTCTCTGTCTCTCTGATGAGCGCCTGTGTCTGATAGCAAAAATCTGTTAAAAAAAAAAAAAACTCCTCTGGACCAGCCCTGTGGTGTGGTGGTTAAGGCAGCTGGATCCCATGTGACCAAGTGATGTTCAAGTCCCAGACACGGCAGCTTGACACATGCATGTGTGGCCAAAATCCCAATAGGAAGGAGCAGTAGAGAAGGGGTGGCAGTGTGGCCATTCGCCATGGGGAGTGCTTCCTCCTCTCCCCCTCCCTCTGTCTCTCTGTCTTTCTCTGGCAAGTGCACACATACTCTCTAACAAAAGAAGAAACCTTCTTATTTCTCTATTTAAATGCTTTTAAAGACAGCGATGCCATTTTTAATTAATTAATTTACTTATTTATTGTTATTCTTTGATTTGACCAGAGAGAGACAGAGTGAGAGAGAGAGAGAGAAAGGGAGAATGAGAAAGCAAGCCGCCAGGTCCAGGACTCAAACCTCAGTCAGCTACGTGGGAGTCCAGTGCCTTAACCAGCACGCCACCTGCTGGCCCCACCCTTCCTATTTTTTGTTTGTCTGTTTGTGTTTGTTTTTGCTATAGGGCGCCTGCCCTCACTGGAGAGAGATAGAGAAAAATGAAGGAAAAGTGAGAAATTACCCCCCCAGGGGGATGGCCATACTGCAATCCCTTCTTCTCTTAGGATTTTGAACACACATGTGTGTACCCAGCATATTTTCCACGCTGCTGGGTCTGGGACTCGAACCACATAGTCATCCATTGGGATCCAGCCCCCTTCACCACCATGCCATCTGGCTGGCCCAGTCCTTCTTACATTTTTACAAATTTATTTATTTAATTCCATTTGTTATTATTCTGTTTTAATTTGACCAGAGAGAAACAGAGAGAGAAAGAGAAAAAGGGAAAGCAAGCCACCAGCCCTGGGACTCGACCGCAGTCAGCCATGTGTGAATCCAGTGCCTTTAACCACCACACCACCTGCCAGCCCACCCTTCCTATCTTAAGCGCCATCAAGAATACAGGCTGGAAGGGGAGCGGGCCCCACACCCTGCCTAGCCTGCAGTGGGGGAGGGGGGTAGAGCCCTCTGGTGCTCAGCCTGGGTGCCCGCAGAAGGAGCCTGTGAGACCTCTCCGTGCCCTCTCCTAGCTTTGCACCTGGCACATCTCAGTGCCTGCCGGCCACGGCATAGAACTAGAGTTCCACAACTTCAGCCTGGAAGCACAGGACGAGTGCAAGTTCGACTACGTGGAGGTGTACGAGAGCTTGAGCGGTTCCGGGGCCCTTAGCCTCCTGGGCAGGTACAGGAGCAGGGGAGGGGCGCGGGGAACTCGGTCCACCACGGTCTGAGCTCGGGGCTCCCCACACGCTGGCCCAGCATCCTCCCCAGCTTCATCCTCTCTGCTAGTCTTCATCATCACCGTAAAAATGCTTGCCTTTGGGAACCAGCAGTTGATGTAATGGCTGTGTTGCTGGACTCCCATGCAGTCAACTGCAGTTCGAATCTCGGACCTGGTGGCTTAAACTCATGCAGGGTGCGTGTGTGTGCATGCCCAAGATCCTGACAGGAGAGTGGAGGAGAAGTGATTGCAGCGTGGCCATCCCCCCCCGGGGGGGGGCGGGGATTTCTCTCTGTCTTTCTGGCATGCACATGTGCCCTATAGTTAAAAAAAAAAAAAATCCTCTCCCCCCCCCAAAAAATGCTTGCTCTCTCTCTCACCTCAAATCCTTCACGCCTGCAGGCCTTTTCCCAAACGCTCCTTAGTCTGGACCTTCTCACCCACCTGATAGGGGCCACTTCTTCCCCGTGCACAAGAGGCGCTGTTTGGGCAGTTTCCTTCTTTGTCCACTGGCACTGTCCTCCTCGCCAGACTCGGTTCTCTGAGTCAGTGACTGTCTCCCTCACCTCTGGCCTGGCCCAGAACCCCCCCAGAGCGAGGCCTGCGGGGCTCCACACCCTGGACAGCCACCATGCCCTGGACTACTCTGCTTCCGGCAGGTTCTGTGGGGCAGAGCCTCCCCCACGCCTCGCCTCCTCGCACCACGAACTGGCGGTGCTCTTCAGGACAGATCAGGGCATCAGCAGCGGAGGCTTCTCAGCCACCTACCGGGCCGTCAATGCCACAGAGAGTAGGTGCCCCCGGGGAGCGGGTGGGGGTAGTCAAGGCACCTGCAGGGAAGGGCCCCGTTGGGAGGAGGGGCTCAGGCGCGTCCCAGGTACTGCCATGCCCCTGTGCCTACAGACCTCTGTGGGCCCAGAGAGCTGTCCTGCCAGGACGGAGGGTGCAGAGGTCTACAGTGGGTGTGTGACACGTGGACAGCCTGTGCAGATGCCAGCGGTGACAACTGCAGCAGCCCTTTGCTCCCGCCACCAGGTGAGCAGCCCGCCCTGGGTGCCCTGAGCAGGGCCTGGCAGGCCTAGGCGGTTGCCCCCGTCTGGTGGAACCCAGCAGCCTGTCCTCCCTGGTTAGGGCTGGGGGCCACCTAGGTCTCCTCCCCCTGACTCTGGAGGGACTCTCAGCTGGTGGTGACAATGGTACTTAGTCCAGGGAGATGGGTCTCCGGGAGTCAATGGTTGGGGCGTCCTTAGCCACCCCAAAGACTGAGGTGAGATTTTACAAGGAGCAGGTGCCCACGACCCTGAGGCATGGCTGCCATGTGGCACCCAAGATGAAAGAGCCACCTGCCAGATGCCCGGGCTGGCAAACGTGGGTGCTGGCAGCAGGGTCTCAGGACAACAGGATGCCCCCGGGAGAAAGAGCCTCTCCTTGGGATCGCCTTCGAGTCTCACAACTGCGCCATCTGACCCACACAGACACAAGGGCCCAGAGTGATCAGGGACTGGCCTCTGGTCACATAGCCCGTGAGCGGTCCCCACGGTGACCTCCCCTCTCACCCCTGCAGAGCTGGCCTGTGAGCCCGTCCAGGTGGAAATGTGCACTGGTCTGAGTTACAACGCCACGGCCTTCCCTAACATCTGGGTGGGCATGGCCACCCAGGAGGAGGTGGCAGAGGTCCTCAGAGGTTACAAGGTGCTGGGAGCAGAGGGGAGGAGGGAGACCCCTGAGGGAGGGGACCCAGGGGGCTCAGGGTGGCTCTCTTCCTTCTACAGAGCCTGACAAGTCTGCCCTGCTACCAGAACTTCCGGAGGCTCCTCTGCGGGCTGCTTGTGCCCCGCTGCACCCCGCTGGGCAGTGTCCTTCCCCCCTGCCGCTCTGTCTGCCAGGAGGCAGAGCGGCAGTGCCAGTCTGGCCTGGCACTACTGGGTACCCCCTGGCCCTTCAACTGCAACAGGCTGCCAGAGGCAGCTGGGCTGGAAGCTTGTTCTCAGCCCTGACCCAGGGCTGGTCTCTGCCCTCTGAGCCTATCAGGGCCTGCAGGCAGAGGAACAAAGGAAGAGGGGACCCCAGGCCTCTACCCATCCTCTCTGGACTCCTCCCCCTCCCGGTCCCTTTACCTGCCCCAGGGCAGCTGCGCTGGCTCCAGGCGGAGCCACCCTAGACGGCTTCCCACACGGGTCTCCCACCGAGATTGCCTGGCTTTCGCTGTTGTCCTGTGTCCATCTGCTTTTCAGGTTCTTAACACCGTGCCTTCGGACTGTCCCGTTTATATTCAGCTTAAACGTATGGAGTGCGCACCACCGTGGCAGGCCCTGGTCTAAGCCCGGGGAGGTGGGCTGCCTCTAGGACGCCCCGCGCTCCGTTTTTCCGTCCCTGTGCCCCCACCACCCCTTCTCTCGTCCCAGCAAGGGAAGGGCCCTGCGTGTCTGTCTCCCACGGTACTGCCTCCCTGCGCGCCGGGAGCCTCTCTCCCCCTCCTTCTTCCCCCAAACTTTGGCCGGCCGCCTGGCGACACCACGAGTTATTTCCCTGATATTTCCCCGGCCCGGAGCTTCTGGCCCCAGAACGACCGGTTTCCTCTTGGAGTCTGGGAGGAGCAGAGCGGAGCCGGCCCGGAGTGAACCGGGACCGGGACGGCGCACGCAGGGCGCCGGGCCGGGGAGGCGCGCAGGGACGGGAGGAGGGCCGGCTGGAGGTCCGGGGTAGCGAGCGCCCCCAAGGAGGCCCTCGAGAGAGCGGGGCCTGGGGAGCCGGGAGGGGTGAGTTTGGCGGAGCAGGGAATGGCGGGGGAGGGGAGTGCGGGAAAGCCTGGGCGCCGGCCGGGCTGGGGGAGGAGTGCCAGCCTCTCCTCTCGCTCCTGCCCAGGCCCTCCGGGTTCTGGCCTGGCGGCACCCGCTTCTTCATCGCGCCGGCCGGGCTGGGGGAGGAGTGCCAGCCTCTCCTCTCGCTCCTGCCCAGGCCCTCCGGGTTCTGGCCTGGCGGCACCCGCTTCTTCATCCCCGCGCGGCCGCCCAGTCCCTGTGGCCCGACGATGGGGTGGGGACCAGGCGCCGGGGTGGGGTGGGAGGCGGGTCCCCGGATCCTGGGTCCCGACTCCAGCGCTGCCTGGCCCACAGACTGCAAGAGGACCCCGGTGTCCGGGCACCCGGTCCCAGCGCCATGAGGCCGCTCGTCGCCCTGATGCTCCTGGGCCTGGCGGTCAGCTCGCCCCCGCTGGACGACAACAAGATCCCCAGCCTGTGCCCGGGGCAGCCCGGCCTTCCGGGCACGCCAGGCCACCATGGCAGCCAAAGCCTGCCGG